AAGGAGGAAAAAAAAAAAAAAAAAAAAGAGGAAAGTAACAGACAGTAGGAAGTAAGGGATACTAGGCTGGGACACCAAGGGTACAAGAGGACACTAAGAAAACAAGAGACACAAGGGAAGCAAGAGAAACTACAGACAAATGAGACGGCAGGGGCATAGAGGACACTGAAAACACATAGAGGAAAGTAACAGACAATAGGAGGTAAGGGATACTGGGCTGGTACACCAAGGGTACAAGAGACACCAAGAATACAAGGTACACAAGGGAAGCAAGGGAAACTGCAGACACATGGGCGAACAGGGGCACAAGATGGCAATAGGGAGAAAAGGTACACACGGAAAACTAGGGATGCAAGGGACACAAGGGACTCGAGGAGAATTAGGGAAATAAGAAACACAAGGGGCTCTAGGGAAACAAGGGACACAAGGCATTCTAGGGATACAAAGGACATTAGAGACACTAGGGATGCAAAGTACACAATGAAACTAGGGACTCTGGGGAAACAAGGAACACAAGGAAAACTAGGGAAACGAGGGGCACTAAGGACACTCGGGTAAAAGTACAAGTAAGACCGAGAACACGAGGGGTAAATGGCTACTACTGGAATAATGCAGGGCATTAGGAATCCTAGGGGTACATGTGACCGTAAAAAAAGTTTACATAGCTAATAGACGGACGTCAAATGATCATTTAGTACACGTTACATATCAAATCTGCCCAGTCGTATTTTCCCTGCAAAAGATCAAAGAAAATGTAACACACCAAAAGATGCATTCGTTAGAGCCTGGCATGAAATAAGAACATCAATCCGAATTAGCTAAGTGTCAAAGGGAAAACTGCTGAAAAAGCACTGGTTGCAATTGTGTGGGTAAAACAGTTTTATCAATAATCAATTTACAGAACAAGTATAAAAATATCTACTCTTTTCTGCAAAATATTATTTTCAGAAACTCTTTCCTCATGGCTCGGTTCAGGAAGCCATAAATGATTGGATCAATCCATGCGGAGATGAAGCCAAAAATTGCAGGAAATGTCTGCACAGTCAAGGGAACTGACACCCGAAAACCAAATTCAAGAATTGCAGCGATCACACTTGGGGTCCAACCGATACAAAACCCTCACGGCCACAGCGGCAAAAAGTAGTCGACATGTCTTAATTTCTTGGGCAGTTATTGTTCCACGATTGCTTGTTAAATGAAGAGAGGGTTGAAGGGCCTTGTGGTGATGACTGACAACTCGATGGACACTACCGTAACAAAATACAATCAAAAGCAATGACAGAAGAACAAGACCGGCCAAAGTGGTCTTTGTAGTGCGAGTACGTTTCAAGTATGTTCCTCGACAGTGCAGTCCTTGTGGGTCCCATCGGTATATAACGGGAGTGATTATTACAAAAGTGAGCGAAGAGATAAACATGACAATAAAAATAAAAAGAATTGACAGAACAGTTTTCCTTTTAGAAAAGAAGACGAGGTATAACCGAAGCTTAACGACACAGACATAACGATTGATCGATGTCATTGTCAGGATAAAGATTGAGACCTCAGTCCAGTACGCGGAAAGAAATCCATTAAATTGGCAGAAATTAAAATCAAATGGCCATCTGCGGTATCCTATGGCTATCACATTAAACGGGGAGACAAAAATTGCAAATGTTATATCAGCTATCGCTAAAGACAAGACGTAAAAATTGGTGATACTTCGTAGCCTTCTGTTTCGGTAGAATGCGAGACAAACAAGGAAGTTTCCCACGAGTGAGAAGATTATCATTATTGCTGTAACCGTGCATAGGACAATCTCTGAAAATTTTCTTCCATCTTCTTTGCTTTCCTCCATTTTCAATATTCGTTAGAAGGCAATAGCAGTCTATTTCTTTTAATAAAGTTGTCCTGGGATGATGCGAAAAACAGTTAATAGAGAAGTGACGAAGCGATGTTTTCCTTCAGTACAGTCTTGGGAACAATAGAATATCACATTGTGATGATAAGCTGAAAAAGCATCTTTAATTGCCTTCAACGTAATTTGCCAAGCTCACTTGTTAAGTAAAAAAATTATAACAATACAGGCGGAAAGATATTGTCGTCAAAATTGTATTCAGCACATTTCAGTAAACAAGCAAAATAGGCTTCCCATATTTGGAGCTAAAACACTGAGGGGCCACTAAATTGCATTAGTTTCACTTCCTCATTGTATATTGCTAGAATTATTATTATTGGGAAGAACGCAAACAGATTTGCTAGGCAAAGCAAAAGCTTTAATTTATTGTGTGGTTTTGTTGATTTAAACTTTAATCATTTGGCTTCCAACCATCATCATTACTGCTACGTTTACGATTCGCAGAGCCAATAACAGAGGTTTTGCAGAATGGCTCCCTCTTCCTTAACTTGTAACCATCGTTTGATTCCCAAATTTGTTCTCTAAGGTGTTGGATAGACTTATTATTGGATTTTAGTATTTGCTTTAACCATTGTTCATTTAAATTACCTTTTTGAACCCTATTGAAAAATTAGTAGGAGGTAATGTATTTTCCGGAAATGGAAGGTAAATGGGGCAAATATGCGTAGAGGTTAATTGACGACCGAATGTTTCAAAATACGCCTCAAATAGCTTTAGAAGGCTGTTTGGTTAATTTGAAGCTGCCTTAAAACCTCTTTATCTTTTCGGGTGTCTTAAGGGAACTTTGGTCCGTTCGAAAGTTTTGGTTGGTTTTTTCGTTTCATCTGACTGTGAGCTACCTCGATGGTTCCGGTCGAAAGTTCTAGGACACGGAGAAGGCGTACATTTATTAGAAAATTCTATGGCACATTTTGTCCTCATACCGAAATCGTCAGGAAGCCTTAATAATAATTGCAATATCTTGGTAATAAAACGGGGTTTATTTCTCTAAGAATTAAATTGAATTTGCTTTTTACGGCCTCTTATATCTGAATTCAAAATTTCGCATTAACCCTCAGTTATCTTAACCCAGCTTTGAACAACATCCGGCCCAGAAATGCAAAATCAATGGTTAGGTAAGACACGTGAAAAAAACAAAACAAAACAACAACAACAACAACAACAAAAAACAAAAACAAAACAAAAACAAAACAAAAAAATTCACTGGTGGAGTTCCTTAGAGCACCATCTTAGGTCCGTTACTTTTTTCGTTAATATTTTTCATCTTTCAAATGTCTACAACTGTTACCTCTAAAGTGTACGCTGATGGCATTAAGATTACCTCAGCTGCGCCTGGCTTAAATAATGTTGGGGTGGAGAGAGGGAGAACTGGGAGATTTATGGTGAACAATGTAAGTCCGAATATTAGAGACCTTTAGATTCGAGGACGAGAACGACTACGAGTATGAGTTTTGATTTAAAGTTTTTTCGCGTATTCTCAAAATATAAACTCTCCGGAAAGCTTTATTTTGCCATTTTTCACTAGAAATGTTAGCACTGTTATCTTTAGTGAAGGAGGTTACGCCCCCTCCCGATCGTAGACTGATAAAACATTTAACATTTGATGTCTTGTTTTCGCCACCACGACATTCGTTCTACAACTCGTAGTAGAATGACGACGGCTACCACGTTCCCGCCCAAATCACGCTGGTTCGCGCGCGTGCACCACTTAGCATTTAGAAAAGCTCGTACTCGTAGTCGTACTAGTCTCAGAGTCTAAAGGTCTCTATTCCCAAAACTGAATTCTTGTGAATTCGCCCTTGAACAAAAATCTCAAACCGAGTGAGATGTGCAAAAGGTACTGGCAAAACAATATTGTGTTGTCGTGTGTTACGTAGCCGGCTTGGCTTGAGTTAAAAGGAAAAGGGGCAGGAAAAAAATGAGCGCAGTAGTTGTAGCCTGAATTTCATCCGATTACTTCGAGTCGTTATTACTCCCTCAGTAACGTCTGAATCGACCGGCCGTTAATACCGTCCAGTGACGTCACTCACTATCCGAAAACCGGGTAGTGATTTTAGATTGGTTGATTGTCTAAACATTCGCATAATTATGTATAATTATGAAAAATTTTAGCGGGATTGTCGCTTGATATTCAGCGGACCGTATCCCTGACATTCTTTCGTGTAATTCAAACATTTCGATAAGCTCAATCTTTATCTTAAACAGCAAAATTGCCCTTGTCTTTGAAACTGAAATGCTAAATTGAGGGTCGGTAGGTTTTTCATTTAGAGCCGCTTTGTGGTTTCGGCGACGGGTGATTTTGTTTACGCGAAGTTTTCTGAGATCAATGTTATAATTCGACCTTCTTGCTATTTTCACCGTCAAGTGTGATGATTGTGTTAGCTTTTCTTTCTTGTTTCCTTCTTTTTTTCTTCCTTAAGAAACAAATAGCTTCTTTTCAATTAAAATGAATCATTGTGTTTTTGAACTAAGTGTTTCGTATGTGTGTTTATTTCATTGCGTGATTGAGTTGATTATAGAATTCAGTACAACCGGTTCAGAGTTGTACTGCATGCAGTTGATAGTTTAAACGTTAAAAATGAATTACAATCGGAAAAAATAAAGAAATTCTGTATCATGCAGACATTTCCAAACGATATTTCTCGGTTTGCCACTTGAAAATCGTGTTTTACTTTTTGCATGAATTAAAGCAAAGGAGTAGTGACGTCACTGAACGGCATTAACGGCCGGTCGATTCAGACGTTACTGAGGGAGTAATAACGACTCGAAGTAAAATCGGATGAAATTCAGGCTACACTATTTGTAGTTAACAAGAAAAGGGGGGAAGAGGGAAGAATGGGACTTAAGTCAGTTGTAAGGTGTAAGGCCTGGTTGTCACATAACAGCTTATCAAAGTTTTTAGTTACTTCGCTGGAAAATCACGTCACTCCAGCCGTTCTTGACATGAATGAGCATGGTAAATACTTCTAACTTACCAATCCGGACGAGGAAAGCCTTCCAAGCAGGCCTGGTTTCTCGCCAAGAGGTTGTAGGACTAGGCACCAGGGCTGCAATTTATATTTAACTTAGTGACGTCAGATGTTCGGCATTTACGAATTCTTCTTTCTTGCGTCTATCGTTGAAATGGAAATACTCTTTTTCCTGTTGCTACCCAGAAATTAATTTCTTAAATCATCAAATTTAAGCGATTTCCAGTCCTATTTTACGTGTTCTAACGGATGAAAGGATTTTAAGACGCGAAAGTCAAGGTAAAGATGTCTATATTGAGTCAAGAGAGAATTCTCTCTTGATTGAGAATAGTTTGTTAGTTTGCTGCATCTAGTTAAGTTGCCCATGCCACTAAATAATATTCAATTTGATAATCCCTCTCAAAGTCTACGCAAGGTTTGAAACAAAATGTTATTTTGTGACCGCTGTTAAAAATTGATTTCAAAGAAAGTCGGACTGTACCCAAAATAAGTAAAAAGCAGTAATCTGCATTTTGTGCTTGTGTTGGCTCGGTATTGAAAATGGCCCGTGTGGCTTGCCAAGCGCAACCTTGTGATATTACTTAGCACTATAATTGCTTCTTTAACGTCACATTTTATACATATTCTTCGTTTCGCTTATCAGTAAAAAGAGTAAAAGAGAAAGAAAATGAACTTTTCAAGTGCGTGGGGACAAATTGATTCTATTTCGTTTATATTGCAATGTCTTCTGTAATGAACAACAGCGCTCGAAGATCAAAATGTGGGAATATATTCAAACTCATTGAACGCATGCCTTACTCCCAAATGATTGGTTATTTGAAAACCAAGCTGTCAAAAATAGCTTGCTCGACTGTATTGCGCCTAACAGCGATTAAAGTGCCTTATAACAACATATTACTTTGTTCTACATACAGATTAAGCTATAGTATTTTACTTACACACGCAACATCTTTTAAGATGTTAAAAGAGCTTATAATTGATAAAACGTGCCTTTGACTGTACACTCGAGAGTGGATTAGGTCTGAGTGAGTTTGGTTTTCTGGTCGTGCAAATTTACAAGCGCATCCTGTTGGTATGCGGAAAATGACGCTAGTGGAAAAGCTAAGATGTGTGTTTATCTCAGTATATTAGTTAAAGAGTTAGAAACTCTTGCGTGTTTCATCAGAGCACCTATTTCGCTTGAAATATTAAAACTGAGTTCCAAGTTATTAACGGTCCCTGAACTGTTAAGGCAAAAACTGAAGCCTTCAAAAAACCTACATACTTTCGTTTCCCAATGCAAAGCCACAAACCTTCATAAGAGCAAATTTTCAAAGGTTTTTTTTTTTATTTCTTAGATCGTAGTGTTATCTTTCCGGAACATTGATAAATGATCATAATTCTCCACCTGACTGATCAATATAAGCATTTAATTGTGTGTTTTATACTGCGGACCCTGATCTACATAGACGACAAGTCTCTTGCTTTTTAATTAGTTTTACGATTAATCAGTTTTACAGAGTGCATTAAATGACTCGAATTTAGTCAATTAGCGCACAACAGGGGAGAGTTATCGTTTTTCAGGGTTAATAACTTTCAATGAGCTTCGTAATAACACAGATGTCGGCAAATTATATTTTATGCTCAAAACATATTCCGTTTCCCAACAGAACAGAATAGCTAACATAAGTGTTTTTAAATGAAGTTATGATTGTCGCAGTGGTAATTGCCTTAAGCAAATGCAAATTAACCCGAAAAAAATAAGTGTTTATGTTTTGAGGTCAGCATTTCTGTTCTTCCGTTTAGGTGAAAGTATATTCCAGATGGCCCTGCAGCCTTATCGGGAAGAGGATTTAAACTATTTTAAATTCTCGTCCCTTGTGCTCAACGAATTTCCAAGAACCTTGAGAAAGACGTTTAAAATGATGTGGGACAACTCTTATGGACATCGCCCTGGTTTCCAGCTCTGGGATGATTCTAATGCTGTAAGAAATTTGTTTGGTTCGATAGAAGGTGACAGAAACAAAGTACCTGTTCATCAGTCTTATAACGAATGGGATTGCACTGCTTTGTTCCAAGCCACTCTCTACTCGAGGGCCTTCGCCTTACATCACGGAACGCTAAATGATTTGTATATCAAGCCACGTGGACTGTCATATGGACATTTTCACGCATCAGTGGTGAGCAAGGCTGGAGACAACGCAGAAACCTGCGCACTAGCGATCGATCAGCTTCGTATTTTGCGAAATTCCCTCTGTCACTCGACCAGTTCTAAGATGGAAAAAGTGTTATTCGACAAATGCGTCCAACACGCCAAAGATGCTTTCCTCGCCCTTGGAGTTTCAACATCTCCAATTGACGTAGTTGGTAGTTTAACAGAATCAGACTTTCCCACAATTGAAGTTCGTAGACTTGAGCAAATGATTAAAGAAGCAAATTCGGGGCACATCAAACTTCTTGAAAGCATAACGCAAAATACTGCCGACAAAGATGATGTCAAAATGTTGGCGGAAAAAATGGAACAGCTTAAGACTTTGCAAGACGAGGGTCCTATTCCATCAATGCCAGGTAGGGTACCTGTAAGTCATAGTAAACTCCAAAAAAATCAAAGAATGATTGGGTTTTTGAAGCCTAGTTCAGCTCTTGGAATTTACTGAGAGTAGGATGACTGTCAGCTTTGAAAGCTAAGCCCGCCTCCTTGTTAAAACCAACCAATTTCTGTACTAGGCTTTGACAGATATTTTAAGTGAACGTGCCTGCACACATGATAGCTTATTCAACGGCAGTAGAAACTTCAACCTTATATCAGTCGCTTAATGATATTATTGAGGCGAATTTAGTTCCTTGAACTGAGATAAGATAAAGTAAAGAGAAAATGCAGGCTACCAGAGTTCCAAGAGTATACCAAGCTGTATGGCCACAATTTCTTGTTTATGAAGGTCTGTAGTGAGTACCACTTAACGAACCAAGGTACCAAGGGTCAGGACGTCGGACTCGCAATCAGGCGGTCCTGGGTTCCAGTCCAGTCCCGGCCATTTGCTGGATTTGTTCTCGGTTGTCCCGAGTTCGGCTCCTCAGCCACGCTTGTAAATAGCCAACTGGTTGCCTCCTACCAGTTGGGGTTTTTGATTCTTTTATGTTCTATTTGAATTGTTTCTTTCTAAGTATTTGAGTGGAGTGCTTGTAAACTAGCTTGATAAGCTAAGTGCACTTTCCACTATAAACAAACCTAACCGCTTGACTGTGTTCTTTAAGCATCTAAATGTAATCTCAGTGTAATCTCTGTATCCACAGCTCGTCTTCGACTGCTGATTGATTGTGAAGAATTGATAGGACTTTCTCCACAGGATGGAGTTTCAAGGGTAATCGTTACCCAGCGGGCAGACCAAGCAATGCTCCAAGGATCCGCAGTTGTATCGACCACCTCTGCTAGCCCAGGGACTGCGGCCGAGGTATTCCAAAAGAGGGAAAACACAGGGGCAGAAGAACCAAAGGAACCGAAGGAAGCCGCCCAAGGGGAGGCAGTGGTTATAAATGGCTTGAGGCAAGAAAAGATTGGAAATGGAGCTGTTCCCTCCCCACAAGACATTCTGAGTTCTATCGCGTCAAAGTACCTACAGGCACTTAACCCTTCAACATCGGAGGAGTTTAATGGTTTTCTTCAGTATATGGAAAAGGTGCGCAAAGTTATTATTGTGGATGTTAAGACTGGAAGCTTAATGGTCATGGTGGAATGTAGCTCTCTTCAGGTCCTGGACGAACTCTGGGAAGATTATATCACTGGTCATCTTAGTGAAATGGTACAGAAATGCCTTGTGACCCAGGAAATTCTAGAGGAGTTTGCCCTAGCTGAAGTAAAAATCACAACAACTATTAACGAAGAAGAGTACAGAGCATGCCGCGAGCTATTCTTGAATCTTCCAAGTAGGTGTAAAGATTATCACACTGTAACTACCTAATATTATCAGTCAACTCTCTCTTATTTACATTTGAAAACTGACTGCATGACTTCGTGAAAACGTTGAAGAACCTATTAATTAAACATAATTAAGTTAAGCTAATTTCAAAGTTCTTCACAGGAGTAAATGACGAATTTCCGTGATTTGAAAACTCGACGGAAACATAGACTGAGTTGCTTGTGCCCGTCTTCGTTATGACATCGACTGCTTCAAATTCCCAACTCTGAGCACGTTAACAACTCAAATGACAGGGTATTGAGGGGTCCAAGGAAATTTTAATGTACCTATTTGATAGATACATAATACGCTATGCCAGCAAAGAAGGTTTACTGCCGGGGAGGGCTCTGTAGGAATTCCCCCCCCCCCCTGGATCCTAGAACTGATGGTACCATATCATGTCAATCTGGATTTTATTACGCTATTTTAGGTAGAGTAGGTACCAAAATTCCCTGTCCTTTCTCAGACCAACTGTGAACCTTGTCGGTTCAAGGCATTCAGATATTGGGGACGGCGAAAAAAAGAAAAAGAAAAAAAATGAAGAGAAAGTAATATCGGGGGGTGTTCATCTCTTCCCCTTTTTGTCCTCCGCGCTCCTTTTCGCGCCACTCTCTACTATTCGAAAGACTAAAGTAGGATTTCTTCACCCTACTCCGGACTAAACTGCTGATGACGGCGGGATTTTAATATCGATTCTTCCCTTTTATTATATCTTTGAAGACATGAAAGCATGGCAGCCAAGAAAGGAAATAGAGGCTGCAAACACCGATGACATGTACTACACACTTGGAGTGACACAGCATAAAAAACGTGATTTCAAAGCAGCTCTTCAGTTTAAACAGCGTGCGCTGTCCATACGAATTAAATTGTTGGGAGAAGAACACGAAAAAACTGCCGACATTTACTTCTCACTCGGGTTAACACAACATAAACTAGCTGACTTTACAGCAGCTCTTCTGCATAAAAAACAAGCTCTATCCATACGAATAAAACTGTTTGGGGAAGAAAACAAAACTGTTGCCGACAATTACCATTCACTCGGGACGACACAGCACAGACTAGGTGACTCAGTATCAGCAGTTCAGTCTCACCAGCGCGCATTGGCCATCCGTATTAAACTGTTTGGAGAAGTACACAAAAGCACCGCTGATAGTTTTAACTTACTTGGGAAAACACAGTATGAACTAGGAGATTTCAGGTCAGCTCTTCAGTCTCACCAGCGTGGGCTGGCCATCCGTATTAAACTGTTTGGAGAGAAACACAAAAGTACTTTCGAAAGCTACCACTCACTGGGGATAACACAACATCAATTAGGTGATTTCAAGACAGCGCTCCATTCTCACCAGAGCGCGCTGGCCATCTGTTTTAAACTCTTTGGAGAAGAACACGAAACCATTGCTGACTGTTACTACTTAATTGGTATAACACAGCAAAAAATGGGTGACCTCCAATCAGCCCTTCAGTCTTACGAACAAGCGCTGGCCTTCCGTGTTAAACTGCTCGGAGAAGAGAATGAAAGTACTGCTGACAGTTACCACGCACTAGGGATAACACAGCATCAACTAGGTTACTTCAAATCAGCTCTTCATTCTCACCAACGTGCACTGGCAATCCGAATTAAGCTGTTTGTAGAAGACAACAGAAGCACTGGTGATAGCTACTATTCACTTGGAATAACAGAATATCAACTCGGTGACTACGAATCAGCTGTTCGGTTCTACGAGCTTGCTCTGGCCATCTATAGTCAATTGTTTGGCGAAGAACACGAAATCATCGCTCACAATTACCACTCAATGGGGGTAACACAGCATCAACTAGGTTACTTCAGATCAGCCATTTATTCTCACCAGCGTGCGCTGGCCATCCGCAAGAAATTGTTTGGATTAAAACACGAAAGAACTAGAGAAAGCTACCACTCACTATGGGCAACACAGTACAAACTCGGTACCATTAAGCCATCAGCCTTTACGTTTAACTAACACGCTCTGGCGATTTGTAAAAA